TGTGATTTAAGGTCAAGGCAAACACAAAAACAGTAACACAACTAATAATCTCATTTGAACAATGTCTGTATTTCTCACATAAAGAATCTCAATCTGTCTTCCGGCTATGCTGCAAAACATTAAGATTTAAAGATCAGCCCTAGGCAGTTTTGCCCCACATTTTAATTCAAATATCTGTTTACCCTTTTTTGTGTTATGTAACCAAAACATGGTAGATAAGCTCAATTTACAAAGGAAACAAAAGGGAACACTCTGTGTAACTTTGCTTCCTCTGAGCGCTTTCACCATGATCTCATCCTCAGAAACTCAACACTTATGTGTCCTACAGGTCTCTGGAGTTCACAATACATGTACAGGACATGGTACTTTGAAAAAAAAAGTGTGACCTCCCCCCTCCATCGGTTTATGCTGAGGCATTCAGCCACATCCTTCCGCCCTCTGTCCCGCCTCCATTGTTTCACTGAGGCCATAACAATGTAGGGTGTTAACCGTGATGAGGGGAGTCATCGTTGGTTGGAATCAGGGTGTCATGTGAAGTTAGAAATACGAGTGTTGACGAGCAGCAAGAGATCTGACAAAATGACCATAGGACATTTTTTCCCCTCCTCTCGCACTGTGGTTTTGAAGGGCACATGGAGAAACACAGAACGGGAGGGCGAGGAAAGGGATTTACAGGGATTTATTTGGATTAATCTCTGTAGGAAAAGAGCAGATTGTGTACAAGCCGGCAGCAAGCAAAGTGGATTCTGCAGGAGGGCCATGGGGGACAGAAGCCTATCTTTGATCTGACACTTTTCTTAATAACTAATAGCCAAAATAGAAGAACAAAAGTCAACAAGCCTGCTACTAAAAGCTCTGCTGTAATTTGTGTTTTCACATTATCACTTACTGTCAACTAGTGTCAGACCTGACCTTTTCTGCTAAAATAAATATACACTAAGTCTAGGAAGCATGATGCATTGATGCCATTAATTTAGATTATTTAGAAGGTTGGGTCCATGCAAAACTAACTAAAGATAAATTTGCCCTGTTACCTCATATGGATTCAGCAAAAGTGATACATGTTATCAAGTTTTAGGCATTCTGATACATTACTATACAGCGGGTAAAATAAGTATTGAACACGTCACCATTTTTCTCAGTAAATATATTACTAGAGGTGCTAATGACATGAAATTTTCACCAGATGTCGGTAACAACCCAAGTG